GGTGTCGATCCGGGGGGCAGAATGGCACAGTCACCTGGGCAGTATGAAGGTATTTTATAGAGAGCTTCGACTCCGCCTCAGTGCATAGCCAGGCTTAAACTACAAGTAGAAACTCAGTTACAATCACGTCAGGAATGGAGACTATTTGTAACTCTGAACAAAATGTTATGGTTGTTCTTTCAAAAGTTTACAACTGAACGTTGACTTAATACAGCTTTGAAACTTTACTATGCAGAAAAAAAATGCTGCTTTCCCTTTTTTTAGCTGTTTAGTTAGTGCTGTACTGTTTGCTGCTGCTGCTTCCTTTCCACTCCCCCCCCCAGTCTGTGCTGCTGCCTGATTGTGTACTTCTGGTTCCAAATGAGGGGTGTGGTGGACTGGTCAGCTTGTAACTCTGAGGTTCAACTGTAGTATTAAAGGAACAGATTTTCTGGGCAAAACTATGCCAAAGTCCCCAGTTATCTCATTCCAAAGCTTTCCTTTTAAACGCTATCCATGTCACAACCTTTTCCCCTGTTTTTCAGGATTTCAGTGTCACTTTTGGCCATTGCCCTGAGATCACAGTGTATACCAGCTGCTGTTACTTCCCAAGTGGTGGACAGCTCCCCAGTCTGTGGACCGAGAATAAGAAGTCTCTCCTTAGCATGCTTGTGGAGGTGAGAGATGAATGGTTTTTAGAGAAGAAGCTCCTGGGGGCTTGTGGGGGAGCACATTGATACATGAGGCCTGGTCCTTGCTGCTGAAGTCCTATGGTAGTAGGTCCAGAGGAATGAGATGTGGTGTGTCAGCCAGGGAATTGGCTAATCTCTCAATGATGCTTTGCCTCAAGGTGAGATGAACAGCCCTTCATTGTATTGCGTATTTTAATTACTAAGCAGAGGGCGGTGTTCTATTTCACATTTCAATAAATCCTAATACGCTCACGTATCTCCCTCCAACCCTGTATCTGAACTCTGAGCGTCTGACATTCTTGATTTCAGGTTCATAAGGGAGTCCATGGATTTGTTCAAGACAAGAGTGGCAAGCCAGTGTCTAAGGCAGTCATTGTACTCAATGAAGGTGTGAGAGTATACACAAAGGAAGGTGGCTATTTCCATGTGCTGTTGGCTCCGGGTTTACATAACATCAGTGCCACAGCTGAAGGATATCAGCAGAAACATGTCTTGGTGAGTGTGCAGCCGTATCACAGGATCTCTTTCCCTGTCTTGTCTGTGGACTGGGTCCTGCTTAATTTTTACTCCTATCTGTTTTTTTTCAGCTATTTAGTCTTCAATAGCTGCTGAACAGCCTTGCTTTTCAGCCCAGCTTAGCTGTATTTAACTTGTGCAGTGGATGGAAGAGAACTTCCCACCATGAGCCCTTGGGGGGGCGGGAGAGATGGTTATGAGGTGTGACTTTCCCCTGCATCACACTCGCTGTTGGCATGTCCACGTGCCTACCACGTGCTTCTTGCCTACCTGGATGCTAACATAAAATATTGAACGTTCTCGGCCCTTGCATTTGTTTCTCCAGGTGCAGGTGCGCCATGATGCCGCCAGCTCCGTGGTGATCGTGTTTGACATGGATAACAGGATATTTGGCCTTCAAAGGGAGCTTGTGGTAACTGTAGCAGGTAACGTGAGAGACTGTCTTTTCAGGACCCTTTGAGCACATTCATGACATGAGATCCAGCTCTGACCATAATTTTTCTCTTCTCCCCTCCACCCTTCCGTAACACTAAGTTAGTCTCTGGTCCTGAGTCATTCCCCTGCCCTTTATTCTAGGTTCACTGTTTATCCCACAGAGTTTGTGCTGCTAATGCTGTATCTGCAGCTAAGAGGGTGGATATTGGAGATCTTTGCAGCACTCTTACTGAGCCCCTTTGTGAATCAGCTAACGAGGCGGGATGGCGATAGCAATGGGAAAACCCTACTTCTGACAAGGCCGGGGGAGTAAGACAGTATCGTCCCTTACCCTCGGCTACCTTGAAAGCAGCACACCTGGCTACTGCTAGACCACTACATGGGTTTGGAGGAGTTCAAGGATAAGGTGGCTATCACCTGTGGAGGCCAAAGGTCATATTCTTGGTTAGCTCGAGGAAAGTTTGGGTTTAACCCTGTGCCAGTCCCAGCTTTGCCCACCTGAAGCTGCTGCACAGGAAGGGCCCTTTGCTGCAGGTTGGGAAGGTGCATTGGCACAGTTGGATGAAAAAAGCCGCTATAGCTCGTCCCTCTTATGGGCACAGCTCGTGCTGTTAGTGACAGGGAATCTGGAAGCGTCCAGTAGGAGTGTGGGCACTCTCATGGCCCTGACTTAAGTGTTTTCTCATTGGCAGGTGCCACCATGTCAGCTGTGGTCCTCACAGCCTGCATCATTTGGTGCGTCTGCTCCATCAAGTCCAACAGGCACAAGGATGGCTTCCATCGCCTACGGCAGCACAATGACGACTACGAGGACGAGATCCGCATGATGTCCACCGGCTCTAAGAAATCGCTCCTGAGCCACGAATTCCAGGATGAGACAGACACTGAAGAAGAAACATTGTACTCTAGCAAACACTGATAGACACCAAGTGGAAAGGAAAGCTCCCTATGGACAAGCCCTACAATGGGGGGCTGCTCTTATGCTTCAGAGATCTGGAACGTTAGCTTGCAGAATGTGTAAGCTCCAGAGACGTGGGTGGCAGTTCTCAACCTCCCGTGTTCTTTTTTGCTCCATTCCTACTTATGCACGCATCGGCTGATGTCAGAGGCTGTGAACGCTGTCAGGTTTCTAGGTCGGGGGTTAGAGTTCTATGTAATGGAAACACTTGGAAGGTAACTTATTAGTGTGTTCTGGCATCAAGACTTGCTAGCAGTTTTCTCGACAGTCCAGCCTGGCGTGGGGAAAGTGGAGTAATTACCAAATGCCTGGCAGGGTCCATCCTTCTAAGCTTTAAAGCCATTATTTATCTCTACCTTTTTGATTCTTTTCACTCTATACATTTTGGGAAGCCTTGATCAGTTATGGCCAAGACTTCAGCTGCGCTGCCAGTGAGTGGCTTTAGAAATGGACAATGAGCTTGGCTTCTGGTTGCTCCATCCCACTCCAAGGGTGCAGAGGTACTATGGCCTGCTCTGCTCTACTGCAGGCTTCTGAAGTGTTTGCAGGGGAATAAGTTTCAGTTAGCCTGTCCATGAAATTGCCTCTGTATTGAAAACTGACAGGTGGAATAATGTAGTCCAGGTGTGAAGCTCTCCACCCAAAGTGGGAGAGAGCTACAGTTAACGCAGTAGGAGTTGGGTGTCCGGTAGCTGTGCAACTCTGCCATTCTCTAGTTAAAAGAAAATCCTCAGGTTCATTTGAACAGTCTTGTACAGAACCCCTATTGCTTCTGGCTGGCCATGTAGCCGATGACACTTAGCGTTGCCTGTCTGAGAATGAAGACTAGCTAGTAACCCATGAGGGAGGAGTAACAGCAGCATGACAGGATAGCATGCTCAGAGCAACTCGAGAGGGTTTCCAAGCAGATGGTGGTAATTGCTCACTGTGGATATTGTCTAAATGCTGCTAGTCACTAATGTGCCTGCTCTGCCTTGTTCATGTCTGCCGGAGTTTGAAACGCACTTAAACCTGCCCACAGCCCAGTAAACACAGCTAGTATTCTGCAGCAGCAGTGAGAGCTCGTGCCATCTCCATGACTCAGCTTCAGTCTCAAATACCTGCAAGACTTCGATTCCTCTCCCAGGTTCATCTGATACAGAAAAATACCCGTTACTGACCACTGCTATTGTTAAAAGCGGACCTCTTTGCTCCTGTATTGAACCCTGATGTTGCCTGACATCCAGCCAGCAGGATGGGCAGGGCGCTGAAGGACCACAAGCAGAATTCCTTTAAATGTCCTTCCTGCTCTTTCCTAGTGAAATGGCTGCTGTCAGTGACCAGAGTACATCTGGGGTGGGTGTGTGTGGAGGGATGTTTGGATAGCACTTGATGTGTAAACAGGAGCTGAGTGACGTGCTCTCTACCTGAGAGAACACTTGGATTCAAAACTTAGTTATTGTTGGCGCTAAAAGGCTCCTCTAGAAAGGGAGGAATCTGTGCCAAGAGGAGCTAAATCAAACCTCCTGATTTCCAAGGCCTTTGCCTGTCTTTCCAGTGTGCCTCCCCTTTCTGGGGAGGGGACTAGGGCCCATCAGCATGAAGCAAATGCCAGTAGTGCGCACTTCACGAGTATAGTACTTGCAGGAATTAAATAGAGGATGCAGTAAACAGGCCAGGCTCTTGCCTGAAATGAACGATTCGCTGGCGGATCCACTCAGGATATTGCAGCCTGGAGCGAAGAAGGAAATCCTCTTGTAAGACCCAAGGTCTGAGGTTCTCCAGCCTTTGCTGTATGCACCCACCAGGCCCTCGCAGCCCTTGTGGAAATGCAGCTGACCAGGGAACCAGACAGTTTAGATCTGTTTGTAACCCACCAGTTGTTGCTGAAATACTAAATTCTGCAAAAGGTTAATGGTGTTTGTTCACTGCCTTTCCTATTAGTCACCCCCCCTCCCCCCAGCTTCTCCGAGAACTTCAGATGCTAACAAGCGTTGGGTTGGAGACCGTTCTTGTCCCACGTTATTGGGTGGGAGGTATCCGATTGAATGGGGGAAGGGTGGGCATGCGTGTTGGGACCTGGAAGCTGTCTTGTATTTGTTGGATGGAATGGAGTTGATAGTATTAGCTCTGCCGCTTGGTCCTCTGTCAAGAAGTGCAGCTGTACTGGCAGTGTTCACACTCCTCTCCAGTTACCCAGAGAGACTGGAGCTTTATGGTATTTACATCCCCAACTTGTGTTCAAACCATTCCATCAGCTACCCCGTCAGGGAGAGTCTCCAGTACAACTTGGGTGTGGCTATAAGCTCTCCTCCCCCAGGGTCAGGGCTGGGTCCAGGGTTTTGGCTGCCCCAAGCAGGCCCCCCCCAAAAGCCACGATCGCGATCTGCGGCGGCAATTCGGCGGGAGGTCCTTCGCGCCGGGCGGGAGTGAGGGACCGTCCGCCGAATAGCTGGACGTGCCGCCCCTCTCCGGAGCGGCCGCCCCAAGCACCTGCTTGCCAGGCTGGTGCCTGGAGCTAGCCCTGCCCAGGGTATCTGTGTGAAACATCAGCCACGCTCTGACACCATTGGTTTGACTTAGTAGATGAGCGAGTGTCTCCACTGGAAAGCTGTGAACACTGCGGTCCAGTGGGGATGTGAACTGAACTCTGGGTAAAAAGAACTAGGTGTAGCCCTTTTCCCTTTCTTAAAACAAGGCTTCATATTGCAAAAGTCTGAGGTAATTCTGCAGAGTATGAGGCTATTTATGCTCCTCTTTCCCCGGGACGCACCCCATACGTACCAGACCGACCTACTCCCAGGCTGTATTGTCTGCCATCGGACTGTCTCCAAGGTACTGGCTCCACGCAGCTGCCAAACTCAGGAGAAGATCATTGTGGAAATGTTTTAACGTGGCATTTCTTAACCTCTTAACAGAACAATTTGCAAATATGCTGTTAAGTATGTGCTGGGAGCAGGCAGGAGGCCCTCTGTGAGTAGCCAGGCTAAGCAGGGAGCTCCTGCCCACCCTTATACCACCGTGTTAAGGACCTGCTGTTGCATCGTCTCTCACTCTTGCAGGGACCACACAAATAGCATGTCAGGGTACAGCTGTGCTGAATAAATGACTTTGCTCCATTTCTTCTGCTTTCAGCCTCTTATGCAGGATCCAGTGGCCTATCACTCAGTAACATTCAGCCTGCCTGATTTCCAGAGGTTTTGCTTTCAAGGTCAAAAGCAGATCAAGGGGGATTTTATATTAAAGTTGACTTCTCAGATTCCTCTCCTGGCTCTCACTTTTCCTGCTTTGATCCCTGGTTCTGCGGGGGAGTTGGGGCTTCCTCGTTCATATGAAGATGTTCTCCCTCTAAATCAAACTTCTGCCCCCCAAGCAATAAATGGTGTTAGGAGTCTACAGGCATTTCAGAGCATTGCATCAGCCCTTTCCGGTCACAGAATGAGTTTTGAACTAGCTACCCTAGGTGAATGTGTGAGGTAAGCAGGCGTGAATTACTGTGTAAATACCTGTGGGCGAGACTTGTCTAAGCTGCCTGGGATGCGTCTTTGCTTAGTTCTCCATGGGCAAATGTGCGGCTCTTCTATGGCAATGACAGCTGGGTTTTTAACTGATTTTGCTGAACAAAGTGCCCTCTGCACCCCTGTTTGCAACACCCCATGCCATCCTTTGACAGCCACTGTCAGCAAACCCCCTCCCCTCCCTTTCTGGAGGTGCCAGCACCACCCGCGTGCACTTGTCTCTGGAGTGCATAGGTCCATGCACTGTGCCTTCAAAAGTAAACTTTTAAAAAGGGACTTCAAACAGTTGACTTTTAGGTTAAATAAAAGAAACCAATCTGTGTGCCATGTGAGACCGAACTTTCTGTACGAGGAGCGTGCTCTGTTTTTTACGTGTATACTGAAATCTAATACTCTATTAAAATTATTTTGATGTCTCTTGTGCTAGTCTCAATGGCTGAAATCTTAGTAACTTTCATGAGACTGACAAAGCAGCTACCTTTATTGTCTCAGCCTGCCTGTAGTTTGGGCCCCTCGGTCCCCGTTCCCTTTCAAACCTCCTGTTAGTTTAAGAAATATCTTTGGTGCCCAGCAGGGCAACCTCTAACCTTTGAATCTAGGGGAGCCAGAGCTTGTGCTTTACTGCGCATCTGCCTTCTGGATACTGCCCCTCTAAGGGCCTGTACCTGCTCCTTCACTGCTTTTGACTCTAAACACAATGCACTGAACTCAAGCTGGACTGGAGGGCACCAGCCAGCTTTCTCTCTCTCCCCTCCCCGCCCTCTCCCCCCAATCTAGCAAAGGTGAATGGGAAATTAAAGCCTGTGTGAGGATAATGCTGTAAAACTCTGCTCTGAGGACAAGTGCTCTGGGCTCTGTAGGCAGCTGTCAGCACCGACATGAGCTTTCACCAAAACTGTTTACATGCTAAACTCCATGGGACCAGGTGTGGGTCTTGCTACAGTAAAATGTGCAACCAGCATGAAGAAGGTTATTACAGCTCCAAGAGGCTCTTATGAACTGCAGGCCAAGCTGAAGTGCTGAGCTGCTGTTTATTACTGATGGATCAGGCCTGCTCGTGCTCTGGGCTATACTGGAAGAGTAGCCGGAGGCACTTGTTAGGTGTGGGGCTCTGTGGGGTTAGGTGTTGTACAAACACCTAGGAAGACTTCAAGCTGTTCACACCAGTCCTATTGCAAAGCTGTGGTGTCCCATAATAGACATAACTTTCCATAGCTGCTACATAGTAATTGTTTCCATTAACTATCAGTCTGAAAGCACGGGTGCCTTTACCAGCTGCAGCTGTTGTATGTTACACTGAACATACTCCTGGACCCATCTCTGAAGAGGGGACGCCCAACCCTCTGTTTTAAGGAGTTTTTTATATGACACCCCTAGTGTCTTCTGTAAGTAAAGCTGAGCTGTAGGTGCTCAGAGTTCTCAAGCAATAGTTATGCCAAGGAGCGTGGCTGCCGTTCCACAATAGATAATATTTGTAAGGTGCACAGAACACACTAGAGTGGTGACAAAAAAATAAAAACCTCTGTCCGTTTTGTCACTTTTAATGCCTTGAACTAGGTAGCTATGGTGGATGTTGTGAACTAGCAATGGATTGTGGCTAGAGATTTTCTGCTGATGTGCAGCAGGTACAAAAAGTGGTGGTCTTTTTTTTTTTTTTTTGAGGCCCTTGGCTCGGTGCCAGAGGCCCTAGGGTACTGTGGGGGAAAGTAGCCTGTACGGGCAGACACTCTTGGGAGTGTGGCCATTCCCCAGGACTAGACCATGCAAATTAACTGAATCATTAAGAACTGCTTATTAAGAATCTAAATGGAGTCTTGCAAAACGGTTATGAAAATGTAGGAGCCTGGATAAAACTGCCCTCCCCGGAGCTGGCGGGAGGCCGCAGCGGCTCCTTTGCCCTTCAGGGAAGAGGTAGGGGAAGGGTGAGTAGACTTGTCACACCCAAGCACTGTTACCAACTCTTGTGAGATCTGGGGGTGCTTGTAAAGCCCCTGCTCCTGGAGGCATGTGCGGTTGGGGGACTGGGCTGGTTTAAATGAAAGTAGCCCCGTGGCTCGGGGAAAAGCGTGGACGTGTGAGCTGAGCGCGCCCACAAGACACCTTATGCTCATGTTTAAGAATGATTTTTTTTTTAAGGCCAGTGGGGTGATTTTTGATCGGGGGGAGGGGGTTGGCAGGGGGGGTTGGTGCTTGGTGTGGGAGGTGGGCGCTGCCTGGGCGTGGGCCTGGCCTGTTTGCTCCCACAGGGCTGGGTGCCCTTTGCACCGTGGCAGGCCCTGCCCTGCTGCAGGCTGGCGCTGAGCCTGGGGGGATCCTATCCTGTGGGTGCTGAGCCGGGGGGGGGTCCCCGTCCC